TCTCAGAGGCTGCCCTGGAGGTAAAAACGTGTCCATTTGTTAGGTTAAACCAAGGTTCAACTTAACAAAGAGCATTTAACATGTAAGATGTGTCACTGTAAGTTCTGTGGTTTCAGTTTGTGAGGCTCTTGTGTTTTTCATATTCGGTCTAATGAAAGCGCAATGTCTTCACCCTCAAGTCCTCCTAAACTCCTTTGTTCACAGGCTATCGAGGTGCCATGAAAAATGTTCCTTCTTCCCATTAAAGGTTAAAAACTACCTGATTTCAATTTGGCCCATATCCCTTTCAAGGTCTTCTCCGGCTGCATCTATGGACTGCTGCCAGCACTGCTAATAATTTTTAGAGATCTCCTTGAAAGTCTTGCTCTGACCACCCTCACAAGTGGTTCTTACCTTGGGGTCTTTCTATAACATCCGAGGATATTTATCTTACAATATAAAGCACTTTACATGACTATTGTTGCTATATATGAAAAAATGAAAGTAAATTGAACTGAATTTTGATTAAGATGGAAACAAATCAGGTTTTCATTACGTCAATGTGATAAAAACACTCCTTTCTGAACCATGAATGGGCAGGAAATGGGATGTACCACAGTTTTTGGTTGTTTGATGCTAACCGTCTTAGAACGTTTCAGGATAACTCTGATCCCGGTTGATGAGCACGCTTCTGTTTTTTTCTAACTTGATGGACGATTTTTGAGGAGCTTGGACATCATGAGCTCATCTACTGATATTTGATGTTTGGACCCTTAACATGGACGTCGGCTTGATGCTTGGTCTGTGTGTTTGAGATCTGTGGTAAAACTGCAGATGCAGACGGTCAGAGCGTGACTTCCATCAAGCAATCCCAAAATTAAGCTGTGCCGTTGACATGTTCACAGGGAGACGTCCTTAAACGGGAGACGTCCTTAAACGGGAGACGTCCTTAAACGGGAGACGTCCTTAAACGGGAGACGTCCTTAAACGGGAGACGTCCTTAAAAGGAAGACTGGTCAAATCTAAATGCGCTCAAATATTATAGTTATTTGGATTTTGGATAGTAAGCTAACTGTTCTTCTTTGGTGTTTGGTGTTGTTTACAAAAAGCTTTAATAATCACAGGTTTATGGGGGCATGTGCTAACTACCACTGATGGTTCAGGAGGGGCTGTCTACACTGCATTAGGATGTAAGAAATTATTTACTGTTTAGAAGTTCTTTGATCAGTCAAACGGCTCTTCACTCTCTTCACTGCATTTTTGCATTTGTTGTCAAATTGCATGGGCAGAGCTGTTCCAGATTTGATTTCCAGACTACTCTTTCTATTTTGTAGTTTATTATAACTGAAAGGTCAGCCTGCACCTTCTGTCTAAACCAGTGTGACTGCCACCGCTTAATCACCCTCTGAGAAAAGTTTGCAGAAGGAAAAAAAAACCCACTCTGCAAAGAGGAATGAATGGTTTGGTTGCCTTAAATAAAGGGCAACACAAAGATTTAAAGTTAAGTCAAAGTAATTACCAATTAGAAGAGAAAAATGACAAGAGATTACACAGTCCATTTAGCCTCATTTATACTGGTGATTCCCATTAAACCAAACCACACACTGATCATTTGTCTGCTGCACTAATGTGTCACCAACCAATCATCTGAATAACACGCAAGAAGAAACCAAAAATTATCTTTTGCACAGCAGGGAAAGGAGATGCAGCCCCCGCCAGAGCTCAACAACAACTTCACTCTTGATCCACCGTGGAGCATGTGGAGGCAACATGGGGGCTGTTTTACCATCTAGCAGCACAGACACACACCTGACACACCTGACAGAGAGGACTTAGCCAGGGCACCGATCCCATAGGTGTTGGCGGACTTCCTCTTGAGACGAGGCAGAATGGAAGTAGTGTCCTCCATGGACAACTAAAGAGAGAGGAGAGGTAAATGTGGTGTTGGTGCAGCACAGGGGTGGACAGAAGGAGGAGGAGAGATAATAGAAC